TCCAATATGTCAACAAAATGAAAAAATGTGATTTACTTGCCTTTATTCAATTGTAAGATTTCTGCCTTAAATAATGTAAGCAGGGTATAGCATAACCAGCTGTAATGTCTACTGTCACATGGTATATATATCATCATACAGCCCAGCTCTAATGTGAAAGTGACACCAATGTATATTTCTCAAACAAACATGCTTCTCAGGATGTAGATGCACATTCTCCTGGACATCGTTTTAAAACTAACTGCTATTGCTGTCTTTTACTACTGCTGTTTTCACTCACAGTGGCAGCACTGCAACAGTTTGCGGGTCTCTCAACACATGACACAATCCACTGTGGGCATTCCAAGCAGCCCATAAAACACTGCGGCCTCTAAAACAGCATGCTCCATTTAGCCCACGCCACCCCCTGGGTGGATAAACAACTCTCTGAAAAGACATTTCCCTCTTAAACTCAACTTCCCCACTAGTCCAAACATTAAAAATTATAAGAACAAAACAATGGATCCTAAACCGATCACCAAATGACGAGCTTTCTATAGCCAGTAGCAGTTAAACAAATTCTTTCCACACGATTCAGCATGATTAATCATAACTGTAATGAACTGATTTGGTGTATTCAGCTTGTTGGTTGTTTGATTTCTCCACTTTTTCACATTCCCCCGCTGTGTTTGAAATGACTGATTTAGACTCTCAGAGGAATGTGTTTCAACAGATGTGTTTCTCACCACAGTCAGCGCAGTGTACCGCTTATCAAAGCCAACTGTGGATGGAGGTTTGTGTCAGCAAAGCATCCTTAGATGAAGCTATATTTAAACACTAGTCAAAAGGTGTCAGCAAACCATGTGAAAGAACATCCCTGTTGGGTTTTTCTAGTTGGCCCCTCTTAGTGCACTGTAAAAAATGACCGTGAATTTAACGGTAAAAGACTGTAAAAATGCTACAGTAAAAACCTGTTAAATGGTTAACGGTAAATTCCCCTTCTGTATACGGTGAAAAACTGTATTGGACATTACATGTATTGGACATTAATTTTACGGTAATATACAGTTTTTGTAAGTGAAAAAGACCGTATAATTTACAGTGAATAGCCATAAATTGACATTCCCAGAATTCCCTGCGTTACATTTCAGATTTGATGTTTTTTTTGTTGAAATACCTATGGTTCTTCTTAGTTTTTTCTTATCAGTTTTGTATATTAGGGTTGTGTGTTACACCTAATGTTGTTAAATGAATGTTTATTGCATGATTTCAGTTTCATGTGTGTTACCATGATGGTGTTTAGTGTTTGTGTGAATGACACTGTGCACCTTCTATATATGTTATTATTTAAAAGCTGCTTGTGATGGGCTTTGGTTCATCATGTGACTTTCTCATCACCACCTGCATTTGGTGGTTATCAGTGTATTACAAAGGTACAAAACAGATTTCAGTACTTCAATAGGTTGGTATATTAACATTATATCAGTTAATGAAATTATGGTATTTTACTGTAAATTTAAGTTAAAAACGTAAAACCTAAAACGTTGCTACCATAGTTTTTATGGTAAAATTCCGGCAACCACAGCTGCCGTTTTTTTACCGATTTTTTTTTACAGTGTGGTTACTCTATCTGTACATCATTATGGTATTTCATTGATAGCCATTCAAAAGTAGCCATGAATTCTGGCAGCAAAAAAAAAAAGTTGCAAGCATCATACTGCATAAATTCTATTGGGATGAATGGGAATGCTAACAAATAGCTCTTTTCGGGTATTATGGTTTGATTACAGGTGTTGTAGTATAGTGTGTAAAGCTCTTGGCTAGAACTGCAAGAACTTACACCTATAGGATGGTTTAAATTAGAGTGACCAGACATCTTTTTGGTTTTTGGTGTCCTGTCCCCGGAAATGTCCTTGTATTACAGCACAATTTTCACTACTTTAGCCATGAAGAACTTTACCTGGATGAGAGCGGTGTCAGGGTAGTTCACATACTAACTATAAATGTTAAATACTGTTTGTATTTATTGTGTAACAGGGCCTGAACAGGGTGCTGGATTGTTTTGCACACAATTTTAAATGTTCCTGAGAAAAAAATTGTATATATATAAAAAAAATGATATTAAACAAATACTCTTGCAACAATTATTTCCATAAAGTACAAATTAGTAGCCTAATATGCAAAATAATAAGCCTAATTAGGGATAGGAAATATCCATTACCAAAATCACAAACACAATTAATGTTTTTAAAAAATGAAGTTGTAATTACTGTAATATTAAATACAATTAGAAAATGTTACAAAATGTGTTAAATATTACAAATAATATTATAATATATTACTGTAATATATAATAATATATCAATAAATAATATTTATTTTGTTTCATTTTTGTGATGTGTTTTTGTAAAGTTGTAATTTTGTCATAATACTGTTTTGATCAGTTTGCTATTTGCAATGATTAATATTTACTGTTTTTCATGGTGTGTGTGTGTGTGTGTGTGTGTGTGTGTGTACCTGGTATTCATTGGTCACATTAGTTTAAACATTGTAACTCTATTCCGCCTTAAAGGAAAAGTTCACCCAAAAATGAAAATTTGCTGAAAATGGACTCACCCTCAGGCCATCCAAGATATAGATGAATTTGTTTCTTCATCGGAACAGATTTGGAG